CGGTAGGAAATCTCACAACACTTTTTCGCGGAAGACTTCAGTCGTTTGTTTACCTCGTTCGCCGCCACATGTTCGTTGTTTATTTTCGAATTTTTGAGTGGTTTTCGTCACTATTTTGTGCAATAAATGAAAATTAATAGTGGTAAAGGTAAGTACCAACCAGAGCTGGGCAGTATTTGCAATTCTAAATACTTTTTAGTATTTAAATACTTTAAAGTATTTAAATACCTAGTATTTAAATACTTTTCTAAAACTGGTATTTGTATTTATGAATCCAAATACTTTTTGAAATATTTGGTATTTAAATACTTTGAAGTATTTTAAATACTTTCAAAAGTAGTTGAATACTTTCAAGTATTTAACTACTATCAAAATTATTTAAATACTTTCGAAAGTATTTATATACTTTTTCTTCTGCAAAAAGAAGAAAGAAGATAATGTTTATTTTTGTTGTATTTATATTAATCAAATAAATAATTTTTTGTTCGATTTGATTATTTTCAATATTTGCCGACTATGTTTTCACGTCGGTCTGTCGTATTTATTGTTTGGCAAGGAATGGTAAGTAAGCAAGCAAGTTAATCACTTATTAGAACGGGTAAAACTAGCCATTTTCGAAATTCGGAAATTTTTGATGTATTTGCCACTGCCAGTTTTCCACTTTTGCCAGAGTATTTCAGCTATCAGAATTTATAGAACATTTCGTTACTAGTGCGAATAGCGACTAGTCTATTCGCACGAGTGACGACCGATATTTTTCATAACGAAGTCTTGATTTTATTTGATTTGATTTGGACAGTGCAAAAAAGGGCCTCCAGTAGTCAAATCAATTGTACTTTATCGGTATAATAACACTGTTGTGGCAGACTTAATCTTGATTCAATGTTTCTAGGTTGATTGGTAGGAATTTATTGTTTTCGCTAGACCTTGGCAATTACCTTGTGTTTAATGGTGGGAATGAATCTATGCCCTTCAACACTTCGTTATGAGAAATATCGTTCATCACTCGTGCGAATGGACGCCTTTCTTTTTTAAACTCGCCTCCGCCGATGGCTTTTTAAAGTATTTAAATACTTTTTGTATTTAGTATTTATTTCTTTTCAAGTCAAATAGTATTTAGTATTTAAATACTTTTAGTCTTTATTAGGTATTTAGTATTTAGTATTTAAATACTTTTTGAAAGTATTTTGCCCAGCTCTGGTACCAACTAGTTTTGGGGTTTTGTATAAAAAAAAAATTGCCCTCTATTATATTTTATAAGAAATAAGACTGTGGGACATATATGTCCCATGAGTATTTTTTAGTGGGATATATTTATCCCAACAGTGACTTTCATTCTTATTATTTTACCCAGAATGAATCGAAGACCACTTTCTCAGAATGAGTTGGAGATGCTGCTAGAGGACCAGTCCGATGGAGAGGATCCTTTTCATGCTTCGGACGAGTCGGATAGCGATTATCTGCCATCTGATGAAGAAACAGATAGACCACAATCTCCGTTTTCTCCAATGGAGGAAGACGAAAACAGTTCTGACGATGAAGATCATGCTCTCAACCAAAACATGTTTGGCCGAAGAACTGATAGGAATTGGAAGAGAAGGAGCGAAAATAGTACGAAAGCGAGCGACAGGAAGACCGTCAAGCTCATCGAGACATTTATATAATGTAGGCGATCATCTGCCCGTAGAAGGACGCACTCGTCGAAGATGCTTTAGATGTGCGAAAAAGAAGAAAGAAGTTCGGACAAAAATCATGTGTACTACGTGTGATCTACTCTTCTGTAAAAAATGTTTTACACCTTTTCATACTTGAATGTATAAAAATATTTAAATAAAACAACTATTTTGAAAATATAGCATTTCATTCCACATGCCTTATGGGACACATATGTCCCATGTCCCAGTCCTGAAGGGACATATATGTCCCATACTCAAAAATCAATAAGAAAATATTTAAAAATTCCAAAATTGTAAATTTTACATGTTTATGGCATATGTTTTTGAATAGTGATACAAGATATGACAAAATTTAATTGAGCAAAACTCGGCGTCAAAGGGTTAAGGCGGCGGGCGGTCTGATATGAAAGTGATATGAAAGACGCGTCACGTTTTGGCAAATTTCGTTACACCAGAGAGAAGAGAATGTAACGTAGGGAGAAAGAGGAAGATAGCCAATGACAATGACAGCCGACGAACCATTGACACAAAGAGGATTGCCTAATATTGTCAAGCGCCGATACCCTTGTGACGTCACTACAGATGCGCATCTCCCTTTTGTGTGGTCATTCCTTCATCTTTACCACGAATCTTTGACACGACTCATACGCTAGTATCTTAAAGTCTACACCCTAGCTGCGGCCCTGATCACACGGGCTTTATCAATAATGCTGGAAGTCGAGTGGGCCATTCGAGAATATTTTTATTTATATTTCTCTACATACAAAAATGAGAGGAGATATTATATTATGTTGTTTGTGAAGTGAAACTTCTTGGGCGGCGGTCTGACATCTATTTGGACGAGAATGGAGAGTGAATTGAATGACGCGTCTTCTTTTGGCAAATTTCGTTACACGAGAGGGAAGAAAGATATAACGTAGAGAGATTAAGAAATATATAATGTGGAGGATGAAGAAAGACAGTCAATGGCAATCGACGAACGATTGACACCAGGCGCGGATCCAGGGAGGGGCCATAGGGGCCCCCCCTAGATGAGAAAACATAATTTTAAAAATCAACATAAAATCGACCAATTTTTCCGGGTTTACCAGGGCCCGTATATAACAGAATTTTATTTCATGGCGTCATTTTATCACGGACCTCTAGCCTATTCTATTTGTATGTATGTACACAAAAAAACAAAACAAAATTTTATTGTAAGAAATTTGAAATTTTGCGTACTTTCGACTTTTCTAAATGAAATGCCCGATATTTGCTTCTAATATATAGTTTGTCTATATTTGTTTGAGCCGCCTTCAACATATTTGGCTCTAAAAATTGGAAAAACACTATCCTACTGACGATTATGTGAACTATTCTGATGAAAGTTTCAGGTAAAATATTTGAGGCACTTGGTTTCTCTGATGGTATTTTTAAAATTTTTGAAGCCAAATATGGTGGAAACGGTTCAACTAAATATAGAGAAACTATATATTTTTGGAATCGGAAAATTGTGTTCTTCAAGAATATAGAATCAAATATAGGGCATTCTATTTGAAAAAAGTACGCAAAATTTCAAATTTATGACAATATTTAGCTAAAGATGCTCCACTTTTGTGTTTACTCCTATCATCTACCTATAAAGGTGAGGTATCAAATTATAACCAGACACCCTTTACCTTGCACTATTTTGTATGCCCCCCCCCCCCCCCCAAAGCAAAGAGGATTGCCTATTATTGTCAAGCGCGGACATTATCGAATGCAATTGTGAATAATTGGGCATTTTTATAATGCCCGGGCAATTTGAGAAGTGCTCAAAGGAATTGGACCAAATGATAAATTATATAGAAAATATCTCATTGCCCCGGCATTATGAATAATGCTGGAAGTCGAGTGGGCCATTTCAGAATATTTTTATTCATATTGCCTGGTCATTATAAATACTACTCTTGGCACTCTGAGTAATTAACAGCAATTTGGCATGGTGTTATTCTCGCTGGCCAAGGAGCACTCATTTCCAGTGGCTTGTCTCTTGCACTATCTTGCACGTTCAAGAGTTCTCGAATGTTATCAGTTCTTTGCTGGTCTCTATCCTTATATTTATATAGTTCTACATTATTTTTTGGATGTTACATGTTTATTAAAATCCGTTCTTCCGTTCAACGATTAACCCACGGACCTAGTGAGGCCCTAAAATCTAGCCAATCAGCGTCCAAAATCTCAGGTCATGCACTCGAAAAAGTCTATAGACTTTATAATTGGACTATAAATGTTAGTGATTTTTGTATTAAATAAAATGCATAAACAGTTATTAACTGATGTGAGTGATATGAAGCATTGTGGTAAATAAAAAACCCTGGGATACACAATAGTGTTTACGCAGGTTTGACGTAATGACTATTGGAGAGAAAAATTGATAGTTCCTGTAGAGGAAGGTACAGAGCAGATCAGGTTTTACGTATATCGGTTATCGGAAAGAGATTTTTCAACTTCTGCATGATGCACATGTTTCAATTCGGCATGGTGGTCGAAACCGTATGGAAGAAAAGATAAATTTACAGTATAAAAACATCTCAAGGGAAAAAATATTTTTGCAAGAAATGAATAATCTGCCTTTATCGTCAATCTATTTTTGTGCTACAAGAATAAAACCAACAGCAAATGAGCGGTGAGCGACCGAGAGCAGCCACAGTAAAGCAAATCGATAATAGGTAACTTTGCTACCTGTGTTGATTGCTACCTGATAATAGTAGATTATACCACGAGTCAATAATGATAGCTATTATTCCCGAGGATTATTACGAACTGAGCCGCGTTAGCGGCGAGGGAGTAACATTCCGGGGGAATAATAGCCATTATTGCGAGTAGTATACTCTACTTTATTTACGACAAATTAATTTATTTGAGATTTTCAATGAACAAATTTCATCCGTCTCATAATTTTCAATACAAATCCACAAGCACTACACGTTTGACACTGACACTTTTGTGGAATAATGACCATTAATCCCGCTACTCGTCATTAATCCCTGGAGGAATAACATATGTCATTATACTGCCAAAATCACAAATATAATACGCACATTATACATTAGTCGTAAATAAAATAATATTATTTCACCAAAATATCCTTAGTCCGTCTTCGGTCGTCCAACTCAATATCAACCAAAATAAGAGTAGTGGGAATATGCTACTCTCCGCCCTCTGCTACCGTACCGCTTCACCCGACCCCGCAATGCTACCTGTCCATTGTGGAGATAATACGCTCTTAACAAAAAACCTGGATCATCGACAGTCTTACATCCACTCACTTGAATTAATAACTATCATCAACTGTAAGCTTACCTGTAGGATAAATAAGGATAACCGGCCTTTTGTTATGTGAGTGAACATGACCAGTAGAAGCACCATTGATATTGATATCCACTGATGTTGACATTTCCTAGGTCACCTGTTACAAAAACAAAAAAAAACTTCAATAATGCTGAAATACAGAAAAGACATACATATTAATTAATTTTCATAGTATTTTGTGCATTAGGTGAGTTATGCCTATAGGTGGAAATTCTTCCCTCTTCAAAACAAAAAGCAACATATCGTCAATCTTGTTTATGCCATTTGTATATTATTTGTTACCAAGGCTAAGACTAATTTTGAATTTTTGAATGAATCACTTGCGATTTTTTTCCTAAAGTTGCTCACAATAAATTTGAACAATATAATTTCAAAGTTAGTTACACAAAAAATTTAGAGCAACTATTTCAAAAATTTCATATTGAGGTTTGGAACATTTTTTGTATTGTCCTATTTTTTTATTTTTTTATTCGACCTGGACACACATATTATTATTTTTTATACCATAGTCAGTCAGTCGTTCAGTATAAGGAAAAATCGAAATTCCCAGGGTAGTTTATTATTGTTGTATATGTGTACCTATATGCGATGATTCATGAGGGAGTCGTTCAAAAAAGGGCCTGGCAGAAAGTACAAAAATATAGGCCGTATATTTTAATAAATGTGTTCATGAATTCCCCAAAGACACTTCCGATCAGTGGAATAGTAAAATGTCGAATTCCTGTTTTTTCCGTTATAATAGAAACAAGATCAAACAGGCTCACATCAGTCTGTATAGTAAAAGTAACGTAATTTCAACAAAAGCCTCTAACTTTTTATCAAGAAATCCTTTTCGCGTCATATGTTCTCCTTTGGTAATATCTTGAAACCAAATTGAGGCACGAAACTCATGCGGATGGCCGAACATATAGGACAACCAATTTGAAATGTATTCCGTTGTAATATAAATTGGTTTTATCTCTTATGATTAGAAACATCTTTTCTATATTATTTGAATATACCATATGACTCAAAAAAGTATACCTAACTTTCTTGTGTCATTTTATTTAAAATTATATCAATACTATGCAATTCAGCAACAAAAACTAATGGGTCAATTTTGTGCACATCTGTAAGCAATTCTATAAATTTCTCTAAACTTATAGCTGCCTAAAATCAATTTGTAATTCTGCACTTCCTGTAGATTACAGAATATATTATAGGATCGTAAATATTTCCGATGGAGTGTTCGGCAATCAATGCGTTTTGCAATGTCTATATAGCTGCCCAGGGTATTTGAAAAAAAGGGTCATATTCTGCAAATTGTGATAAAAGCATGAAATTTTGTGGAGATGTTTTCACATTGATTTTAAGCGATTTCACCCGCAGCACATTCTGGTAGGACCCGTAGGATCCAAGATGGCGGCCTTTCTTTATATAACTTAGAGAAAATATAGGCTTACGCGTTTTGATCCGATTTTAACGGTGTTGGTGTTATTTCTGAGTAACTTATGGGTAACTGAGCAAATAAAGGTAGTATTTTGTTCAAAAAACGTAGCTTAAAATAGTTATTCACAAAAAAATGAGGAAAGTGCTTCTTTTTCGAATTTGACGACGAAGAAGATGGCAAAGACGTGAAGCAGATCTTTGTCAGGCCGTCCAGGCCGAAGAAAGAAACTGTTCCAGTTGAAAACAACAACAAAACATATACCCGCGTGTGTACTAAAAGTGATCGCACTTGCCGCAGGCTCGTAATTTTTAATAAACAATAGTTATAACAAAATTTTAAACACTATATGTACAGGGTGTATCAGGTATGAGTACAAATATTTTAACATGAGATAATATGGCCCATTTCAAGCTAAAAGTGTCCTATTGACCATGGGTCAATTGTTGGTATTTACGAAGTTATCGCAGAATTTAAATTTGGAAAAATGTCAACAACGTGACAACATTGTACAGGCATTTATCTCTGCCACGATATAAATGTAAGTAAAACTGGTAAATTTGAAACTTTTTTTTGCACGGCGTTTATTTATTCCATCTGTTTACGTTTTGCTTTGTTATTGGCTTTCAAATAATGTAAATAACAACTTGCATTTTTATCACTTTTCTAGTAAAAATAAAAAATGTGCCATTTTATTAAGTTGTGAATTGCATTGAATGACATTTTTGCACTAAATATTCAAGAGAAAAATCAAATAATACTTACTCAGCTACTTTCATAATGAGATTGAATCCTTATTATGAAAATATTAATTTTTGTTAAAAGATGCTCAAAACACTAAAATCAACACGCAGATTTTGCACGCTCACAACTCACACTTCTTGTATTACGCAATCTTTGTAAAACGGGCACAATGTTTTTCCATCAGGTGAGTTCTTTTCTTTTGGAAAATCTTTCCCTACTTTCACTGTGAATTCTGGTGGCTGAATGAGCATTTTGCAACGATTCTGTCTGAACAAGTATCTGCATATTCGATGTTTCTAAACATTTTATTTTCAAAAAAGAATGAATTTGAATTACGCGTGTTTCCCAACTAGAAAAGACAAATCAAGAATCAATTTATTCAGTTCTACCAAGGTTCAACCTTTAACCACCTTTTCTTTATTGTGCTGTGTTGCCAGATGTTTAGATACCCTTTTACAAGTGAAATTTGTATGTTGTTTTTCCAATTTTTTGTTATTGTTGTTGACTAAAAATGCATAATTACTTAATAATTGGATAAACTAAATTTTTCTACATCTCATAATGATTAAAATTTTGTTTAACTTTAAAATATTCGTCAAAAAATGTTAAAACTTCGAAGACCTTTTTCTTCAAAATGATTGAGTTTGGACCCCATGTTGTATAAACTTTTTTTGTTCAAAATGGGCCATATTTTCATGTGTTAAAATTTTTGTAGTCAAACCTGATACACCCTGTATACATATAGGCATCTACATAGTAAAAACTTAATTACAGATAACACTACTAAATCTAATTTTATTAATTTTTTATTACGAGAATAATTTTGATACGCCCCTGCTCCCTCACTATACGCATGATCGTTGATTGCCACGAAGAAGAAGCAAATAATGAGCGCCAATCACGCACATGCATGCACAGATGTTTTAACGGCTTTTCTTCGGGCAGTCGCACTAGTTTAAACTCAGACTCATGTCGTCAGTGTGTGTGCGTGCGCGCGTATTGTGGTTGTGAAAATATTTAAAGTTTGAAAAGTAAAAGTACTTTCGATATTGGCACTGGCAAAAAACGTCGTTATCCGGCTGTACACCATATTGCAGAGGGACTAGGAGCTTCCAAGTGCGTAGCACTTCGGGGCTTTCATGCCTTCACTGGCTGTGATAGTGTATCTTTTTTCGCGACAAAGGGGAAGAAGACAGCTTGGAAAACTTGGAATGCATTTGAGTAATACTATGTGCATTCACCTACATCTCTTTGCTCCAGGAAAATGTCAGTGTTAAGGTTTTTGAACACCTAGAACAATTTACTTGCAATATGTATTGTGCCAAAGCTGAATTTAATAAAGTCGGCAGTTTACGGAAACGCATTTATTCTGCACCGAAAATTGGCCAATACATAATGGTACCTCCAACATCAGCATCATTAATGTAACATACTTTAAGATCCGCTTATCAAGCAGAGCAAGTATGGGGCCGGGCTATACTACAAACGCTAGAGGATTATGCATTATTATTTATTGTCGCCCAGCAGAGCTGGGAGTAAAGACAAAAAATAGTTACTTTACTTTAACGAGTTACTGAAAGTAACGCGTTACTTGGTAACTTCGTTACTTTTCAGATTGATTGATAAGTAACTGTAACGACGTTACTTTCCTGAAGTAACTGCAGATCGTTATTTTGTTAAAGTAACGAGTTACTATTAAAGTAGCGCGTTACTATGAAAATAACGCGTTTATATGGAAGTAACGCGTTCTCTCAATTTGTTTACCTTCTTTACAAATAATTGACGATTGAGGAAAAGGAAAATAAGTAATCCAAAAACTTTGTATGTCAAATAAAATGTGGGTAGTACAGAAAATTTGTTTTGAAAGCTCAAAATAATCGTTTTTGGGCGTGGCACGCACCGCCTCTGCTCTAAAAACACTATATGCAAACACTGGCACGCTTCAAAAAGTAGGTTTGTCCGAAACCAAGTTCTCTATTTAGTCGCTTAATCCTTAATCAGTTTGAATTTTGCAACAAAACTCTTTCACATAGTTGGACTCACAAACTAAAAACATATTGGCATTTCATATAGGTCTTATTTGATTGTTTGGACTGCTGTGTTGGTGAGCCAAATTGAGGAATAACGCAATTTTCGACGTAAATAGTTATTTTTGAAGTAACGCGTTACTTTAAAAGTAACGCTTCATTTAAAAGTAGCGTTTTATTTCAAACTAACGCGTTGAAGTAACGGGTTACTTTCAAATAACGAGTTACTTTTAAGTAACGAACTACTTCTAAAGTAAAGAAGTTACTTTCAAAGTAAAGAAGTTACAGTAACGCGTTACTTCTCAATAAGTAACGAAAATAAAGTTATCGTTATTCGAAAGTAACTGTAAATTTTAAGTAACAAGTTATTTTTAAGCAAAAGTAACTGTAAAGTAACGCGTTACTTTTTTCAAGTAACGATCCCAGCTCTGTCACCCAGTAACTGGGGGTGGGTAAAAAAGGAAAACTCGTGGCAGCCAATATGGTCTTCATTATCAAATATATGGAACGCCTGCAGGGAATTAAAAAAATGTGGCTGTAAATCGGGGTGCAATTCTTTGCGGTGTTCCTGTAATAAAGCGACACTGTGCTGTACGTTGCAATGCAAATGCAAAGGCTAGTGTGAAAATAAATAACAATGCTTACAGTTTCGAGATAGCTCATTTATTTTTCTATAAAAAATATCAGCATTTGCGAATTAACCTGATTAAATTTTGAATTAATTGCTGTTTAAATTGTGACCCTAGCAATACTACTGTACGCCACTGACAAATATATTTGAGAAAATCACAATATTTTAAGTGTGACTTCGGTTTGGTGTTTTTAATAATAAATTTTATAAACATTGTATTAAAATTAAAAAAAAAAAAACATCTTGAAACCTAAAGAGTGTGATTTTTT